ATTTAATATGTATGAGACGAGGTCGGAGGCCAATGACATGTATGTTGTATTCTATACAACTTTTTAACCTCATAAAATATTATGAAAACCTTGAAAAATTGCAAGTCATTGCTTCACCATGGTTGCATCGGGTGTGGGAATTCCATTTTCATTCTTTTATAGGATCTTATTAATCTTGTATGAAGTGTGGCCAAGGGCCAAACGGTCATTTAACTCCATTTTACATTTTTGGATTCCATGTTTTCCATTCCAAGTCCATTTTTGCCTTTTTGCCCGTTGGGGGGTCGGATTTTGCATCGGCTATATTTTTAAGTTATGGACCATTGTAGCGTGTCTAAATAGGTAAGTTACTTTTGCGTGCATAGTCGTTTCCAGGCAAAACCTCATCGTTTGTGTTTTGAGCCTCCTACGATTTCATTTTGCGTTTTTGTTGCATATTCTGATCTAGGGGCATTCTAGACCTTTTAATTCAGTTTTATTTTCTTTTTTCAACATTATTGAATAGAAAACGTGATTTTAGGGGGGGTTTCTTTTTTGTGTTTTTCCAGAAAATGTCGTCTTGGTGCCGGAAATCAATCGCAAAGTTCAGCTTTTTGTTTTTTTTAGCAGCTTTTTGGACCTCAATGACCAGATTTCATAGAGGAGCATTTTGGGCATTCTACATTACGTTTTTTTTTAATTCTCTCACAAGTCACGTAGAAAACTCAATTTTGAGGGGGGTTTCTTCTTTGTGTTTTTCCAGAAAAATTCATCTACTAGCCCGTTTTTACTCTCTGTTCTGGTTGTTTCTGGAAAAAAATGCTTGTAGCAGCTTTTTGGGTCCATCTTGACCTAGGCTGTTCAAGGGGCATTTTAGGGACTTTACATTGTATTTTTTTTGGTTTCTTCTGCATAGTCGGGTAGAAATCGTGATTTTAAGGGGGGTTTCTTCTTCGTGTTTTTCCAGAAAAACTCGTTTAAGGGTCCGTTTTTAGCCTCGGTTTTAGGGTCCGTTTTTAGCCTCGGTTTTGGAAAAAAAATTTCATTGGTGCTTGCTGTTCTTACCCGGAAAATAAGTCTAATTTTTTGAAACTTTGAAGCTTCATATTTTCTTCGTCCCGACTCCAAATCAAGTAATTTTTGAGTCTAAGTTTATTAGTTTTTGCTTGTCTATCCAACGGTATTCACGGTTGCATCTAATTCTATCTGAAAAGACTATTTTATCCTTTGTAAAGTACCCTTACCGCACTGATTTTAAACTCAAAGGTTGGTTTTTTTGAAACTTTAACGTTTCATATCTTCTTCATCCGGACTCCGAATCAAGTGATTCTTGAGTCTAGATTCATTAATTTTTCCTAGTCTATCTATTGGTATGCTCAGTTGCATCCAATTTTGTCTAAAAAGACCATTTTACCCCTTGTCAATTACCCTTGCCGCACTGTTTTGAAACCCGAAAGTTGGTTTTTATGAAACTTTGGAGTTTCATATCTTCTTCATCCAGACTCTGAATCAAGTGATTCTTGTGTCTAGATTTGTTTTGCTGTCTTTCCAGTGGTGTGCTCAGTGGCACCCAAATCCACATTTTTTAAAAATAACTATTTTGCCCCTAGGGGCTTATTTGTCATATTTTTAACCTTTTGCTTCCGCATCAGTTTTCATTGAGTTCCACGACCTCATGGAAGATCACTTTGATTTCTTAGAGTCTTGTTTTCTGTGTTCGCTTTCGCTTATCGGATCCGTTATCGGGTCAACCTTCGGTTCATCACAGGACACGCTGGCCTAAAAGAACCAGGGTCGTCACAGAATATGACAAAAACGATGAGATAGCTGATCATCACAAGTTATACATGTGATCAAACAGTTCATTAATCTATCCGATCAGATGGACCCATGTTGTCGATCAGATGAAACATCTATCCGATCACTTGCAGATCTAAGATTTGATTTAACTGATCAGATAAGTCCAAGTGACCACACGGGTGGTACTTGTAATCGATCAAATGGACTAAAATTTTAAATCTGAGAAAATGAATTCATATCATACGGCTATCTTCTTCAAAGGGGTTATAAATACACAATGTTTGTACATTGTGGGCATGCGTTGGAAAGAAATAGAAAAACCTTCTTTAGTATCAAACCGCTTTTGTTCTTTATCTTCTCATCATCTCATACATATCATTCATAGAGTATTGAGCTTCATTTGTATGCATTGATACTCTAGTTCTGAGCTTTGATTTAGATATCAATCTTTGAGAGATATATTCTTGTGCAACAAAATTCTATCTACAATCTATCGTAAAGGTTGGCGTGACCTAATAATTGGTGTGATCCTGCAGAAGTCTAAGAGAGGATTGTTCTCTTAGCAAGAAGAAGTAGAAGCGTTGTGCTTCTTGTACCGGTTTGCCCTTCCACCTGTAAGGAGGTGCCATAGTGGGTTTGGAAAAGTTTCAAGAGGGATCATGAGCTGAGTAGTAGAAGTTACCGAACCTCGCTAAATCGCCGTGTTATTGTTTGCAATCTCTCTTCCCTTATCTCTTTTACAATTGTACTTTAATTGATTATGTCTATATCTTGATTATTGCATAATTGTTATAAGTTATTTATTAGAATTTGCAAATCTATTAAAACCAAAAATTGATCATTGTTTGCCATAGACTCTATTCACCCTCCCTCTAGAGTTAATAATTGTATAACACCTCCTATGGCCGTCTCCGAATCTAAACTCGAAATCGGCCTCAAAAATTCAAAATGCCCGGAATCAAAAACAAAATCAAGGGTTTTGCTCCCCATGGTGTTCCCGTCATATCTCTCTTTTATGGCAACTCGCAAATCTGACATATGCTAGATGAAATCAGGTAAAAACCTCAAGAACACAAAATAAATAAATAAAGGAAAAGAAAAGAAAAGAAAAAGGAAAAGGAAAGGGGGGAGGGGACCTCGGCTGCCAAGTTGAATCCCCTCTTTCTCTCCTAACATATACATACATATATATATATATATATTTACACAGAGCATCAAAAGTCTCCCATGGACTCACAAAAGTTAAAATTGTGAAAATGTCTAAAAATTAGAAAATATTTGAAAAATAATAACGCGAACGGGCCCAAATAAAATATGATGTCTAAAACATCCCTAATTAAATATATAGGTCTTATATATCCTCAAAACAATAAATGCAAAGTGTTGAAAAAAAATTTCGAACATTTAACCAGGTTTGGTCTCGCTTGACCGAACCCGAAAATGATGAAAAAAGAAAATAGTGAAAAATGGAAAAAGGAACAAGGAACAAGTCCTTACATAGCGGCAAAGACTGACCCCCCGGTCAACGAAAGGGTGTGGTGGGAACTCTTGTGGTGATTGTGAAACAAGATGGTGGTGTTGGGGTTGGTTATGGTTAGTGCCAGTGATGGTGGTGGTGATGGTAGTGGGTGGTGGAAGTGAAGGAAAGGATGACATCGACTGACTCTTTGGGCCGCGAAAGAGGTGTGATAGGAGTGGTAGTGGTGATTGTGAAGCACGATGGTGGTGTTAGGCTTGGTTGTGGTGGGTGGTGGTGATGGTGGCGGGTTCGTCAGTGGGAGGCCGGAATAAATTTTTTCTCTCTTTCTTTCTCATACATGTTACCAAAATATTGGGATGTTAGCCTCGTATCACAACATTTTCTTAATGTGCATCATAACTTTCTCCTTATCGGCATTACAATATTTTCGTAAAATGCATCCTAAGTTATCCACACCGACCCGAACAGATGTACCGTCACAAAAGAGAGGATTTTTATCCGTAGGAGCCCATGCAAGAAAGAGGCCTAAACCATACCGAAAACAACAACCCTGCCATATGCAATTTGTTGGCCACTTTGAGTGAAACCAGTTTTCCTTGGCTTCAAAGAGAGAGAGAGAGAGCAGGCACCACAGATCTACCTTATGCATTGCGCCACTTAATATATATATATATATAGGGTAAAATACAGTAACACTCCCTGAGATTTGTCAAAAGGACACTCAGAGAAAAATTTGCCTATTTTGGAACAATGACACCTCTTGAAGTTTGATACATTTACCAAAGTCACCCCAATAGTAATAAATTGACATTTTTACCCTTTAACTTTTATATTGACTAATTTAAATATAGAAATGACCTTTCTAACCTCATATCTATAACAATTTCTTTCCTTCCATTCTCTATATTTTCTCTTCCTCAGCCCCCAACACCAACACACACTGTCACACATATACACACATACTGTCACACATACATAAAAAATGAAAGTGGAGTATTTAAATATTGCTAGGGCTAAATCATAACAAATGTCCTAATGCATCCAACAACTAAAATCCATATTTTGTAGATATAATTTTTCAAGTCTCACAGAATTTGACAAACACTACAGATAGGAGGGATTGGACATAAACATTGAAAAATTTAAAACCAAAGTCAGAAAAATTACATCTATAAAAACAATGGAAATTTCAAAATAACTTGCATCATCAAATCAACCCACCAAGTTATTTGGAGAATTTAATAAACATAAAATGCCCAAAAGTTAAAACTTGGTTTTGCTCAAGGAACACATCAAAGTAATTAGATTTATTAACCGAAAAAAATATCAAGTAATTGATGTATTATTATTTAAATAAGTATGAATGCATCATTTGTGTGACAGTACGTGGGCATATGTGTGACAATGTGTGTTAGTGTTGGGGGTTGAGGAAGAGAAAATAGAGAGAAAAGAAGTAAATAAATTGTTATTGGTATAAGGTTATATAGGTCATTTCAATATTTAAGTTAGTCAATATAAAAGTTAAAGGGTAAAAATATCAATTTATTACCATTGGAGTGTCTTTGATACATATATTAACTTTTAGGGTATCATTGTCCCAAAATAAATAAATTTTTTAGTGTGGTTTTAGCAAACTTTACCGGTGTCACTGTACTTTACATGTGTTGTTGATACCTATTATTTTATTCTTTTTGTATTAAATATCTATAACACCTTAAAATTATCCCATTGAAATTACAGAAAAAATTTATTAGTGCCCCATAACATAGGTTGCTCCCCTAACATAAATTTCTGAGTCCGGAGAGATTCAATTCAATTCATGGGAGGGTGGAGGAAAGTAGGACGCATATTCCACTGTAGACGAGCTTTCCGAGTCCCTCCTCTATTTAGTCGCTTTTTAGTCTGGTAAAATTTGCTTCTTGGATTTTCTGAGTGTTAAATTTTGATGCGATCGATTTGGTACCGCTGAATATCCTTGCATTTCTTTCTTGCCAGATGTGGTAAATTGGTGCACGCAGAAGGTGCCATTTTGTTGATGGAGTTGACGGTTGGTTTCCAATGGTGGGATGCCCATTGAATTAGGGCATTCCATGATGGTATGGTGGAGGCTGTGTAAAATCCACTACTTTCAAATCCATCTAACAACGTATCAGATTGCAAAGTTTGGAGATTCGCTTGAGCATGAATTTGTGCCTGGGGATGGAGATCAGGTTGAGATGGAAGCCACAGCACTCTAGGTATTGTTAGCGCCACATTGCTTAGTTCTTGACATTTGTGGACAGTTTTTAACTATGTAAACTTTTTATTTTTATTATTATTTTATTTATAAAAAAGATCGTTGATTTGAAGCAGACAATATCCACACCAGTTGTTGCTATCTATGTTGTTCGGATAAAGCACAGACTTCATAACTCTCAACTTATGAAGCTTTTCAATGCACCGAGAACATATACATACGTTTGGGTTACAACTTACAAGCCAGCTGGCCATTCCAACACATTAACGACGACGTATTAGGAAAAGAGCTTATATAACAGCAAATACAGCCAATAAAAGAAACCGTTAGTCTATTTTAAGAAAATTCTGACTTGCCAACTATTTAATGTAACTAACTTACAAATAATCATAAAGATTACTTCCATTTTCCATCTTCATCTTGTTCACCATTTCATTCCCCCAGAGTTTCTTCAATTTTTTTTTCCCTAGGAAACTTGAAGGGGAATGAATGTGATCCGTGCAAACATTATTCAAGTAAGTTTAATTAATTTGCCTCTTTTAATATCATTTATGTTTTAGTCTCAATGTTTGTTGTTATATCGTTCAATCCCGTCCATCCCATCAAAATATATATATTTTTGTTTTTAAATTTTTTTGTAAAACCAAGGTTCATTTAATAATTCTAAATGTTTATAATTTTGATAGTGAACATAGGCTGTTTCAAATCCAAGGAATCTAACAAGTTTGGATATAAGAGTTAATTACTTTTTCCTCTTATTAGATGACTCATCTAACCTGTTATAATTGTTGTTTTTTTTTTTTTTCTTCAGAAAAACGTTTGACAGTATCATCCGAAAATGATTACGCGGTTGGTTTTTGTTCTCTTGTTGATCCATTCAACTATAGCAGCTGAGAAAGCAGAGAAACGTACCCAAAAGCTCTCACCTATAGCAGCAGAGAAAGCAGAGCAACATCCCCCCAAGCCCTCATCTACAGCAGAGAAAGATCCCCACAAGCCTTCAAAATGGATGACTCTTGATGGTAAGTAATGTGTATTAATTTCTTGCTATCTTAATTAACTTAACTGCAAGAAATTATCCATTTACTTTCATTTCTCTCTAATTTGAAATTTTTAGAGAATGAAAACTTTAGAATTAGAAGGAAGCCAAAAAGTGGAATTTTCCTTGGGCACAGTAGGAAGAGATATGGGAATAAGATTAGCTAGAGCTAGGCTGGCACAATTTCCGGTGTAGTTCCGACAAAGCCCATTTCAACTTTCAGAGATCCATTCCAGATTGGAATCGACCTCGTGATCAAAGCCCACTAGATCTGCTCGTGACATATGCCCTTTTTGAAACTCAAAATTCATCATTTTGGGTCCCATATCTGCGTTTCCCAATGCTACTAGAAGAACACTGATTTTTTATGGATTTTTGTTGGAGTTTGGAACAAACTCGGATTGTTATAATATTTCTTTGTTAACTTAATTTCACAGTTTTTAGAGTTATTAGGATTGTATTCCCTATTATTTCATATCCGACTTCTGATATTAGGATTGTATCCGACTTCTGATATTAGGATTGTATCCGACTTCTGATCATATCCCTGTGGTGTTAGACTGTGGTGGATTGAGAACGAGGAGTACTCCTTTTCGCTTTGAAAATATGTGGTTACGAGCTGAGGATTTTTAGGGATTTGTGAGGACTTGGTGGGAGGCTATCAGGGTGGATGGTAATCCGAGCTTTATTTTTGCAAAAAAGCTTAAGGGGTTGAAACATGAGATTAAAAGGTGGAATAAGGAGGTGTTTAGGAATTTGGAGTGGAGGAAGAATAGGGCTTTTGCGGAGATTGCTGAGATTGATAGGCGGGAAGGTGTGGGTGGTATTGATGAGGGTCAGAAAAGTAGGAGGTATGTGTGCCAGAAGGAGATTGCTGCGATAGCAGTGGTGGAAAAAATCTCTTGGAGGCAGAAATCTAGAGCCATATGGCTTAAAGAAGGTGATAAGAATACTAAGTTTTTTCATCAGCTTGCTAATGCTCATAGGAGAGGCAATCACATTGGGAGGATTACTATTGATGGGGAGGTTCTGCTTTGGGGGGAGGATGTATGTAGGGGGATTGTCTCTTTTTATCAGGGTTTGTTTACGGAGCCTTATTTATGGAGACCCCGATTTGATGGTCTGCATTTCGACGCTATTTATGAAATTAATAGAGATGGTTTGGAGATTCCGTTTTCTGAAGAGGAAGTGCTGAAATGGTTTTACTATGAGCTTTCTATTGGAGAGTTGGGTGGTGGTTAGGGGAGAGGTGATGGCTACGTTTCATGCCTTCCATATTTAGGGGAGGTTTGAGAACTCTTTGAATGCATCGTTTATTACACTTATTCCTAAGAAGGGGGGAGCTTCAAATGTAAAGGACTTTAGACCTATTAGTTGCTGGGTTGCATTTATAAATTAATAGCTAAAGTTCTAACATTAAGGTTGAGGGTTGTTCTGGATGATATCATTTCGGAATCTTAGAACGCTTTTATAGGTGGGCGTTAGATTCTTGATTCAGCTCTTATTGCTATTGAATGTGTGGACGGTTGAGGAGTGGTCTCCCAGGGGTTCTGTGTAAGCTTGACGTTGAGAAAGCTTATGATCATGTGAATTGGAAGTTCTTGTTGTATTTGATGGATATAATGGGTTTTGGGGATAAATGGAGGTGTTGGATTGAGGCTTGTTTATCTTCAGCCAGATTTTCGGTGATGGTTAATGGGTCTCCGACCTGGTTCTTTGGTAGCTCGCGAGGCTTGCGCTAGGGGGATCTTTTGTCTCCTTTCTTGTTCATTATTGTTATGGAGGCTCTTAGTAGGTTGATGGGGAGAGCGGTGGAGTTGGGTTTTATTAAGGGGTTCAGGGTGGGTGGGGGTGATGTTTCATCATATGGAGGGTGGAAAGGTCCATTTGAAGATGGGTTTCGGCGGGACCCTCACGAAGAGATATCCCACTTATTGTTTGCGGATGACACGTCGGTGTTTTGTGAGGCTGATTTTTCCCAGATGAGGTATCTGAGATCGGTGCTGAGTTGTTTTCAGGCGGTGTCAGGATTGAAAGTGAATGTAGGGAAGAGTGTCTTGATTCCAGTAGTGGAGGTGCAGAATATTGGTGAGTTAGCTTCTGTGCTTGGATGTGGAATCAGTAGCTTTCCGATTACATATTTGGGGTTACCTTTCGGTGTTTCTTCAAGGAATGTGGGTGTTTGGGATCCAGTGATTTAGAGGGTTCAGAGGAGACTTGCAGAGTGGAAGAAGCAGTATTTATCGAAAGGGGGGAAGGTCACTCTTTTGAAAAGCATGCTATCAAGTCTTCCTACTTATTTTTTATCCCTCTTCCGGATACCAGTTGGGCTTCAAGGAGAATTTAAATATCATCTTATTCGGTGGGAGCAGAAATGTCGGCCAATTCAGGCCGGAGGTTTAGGGATAAGGAGGTTGGTGCCATTTAACAATGCTCTTCTTGGCAAGTGGTTGTGGACTAAGAAGCACGGACACGGATACGGGACACGGACACGACACGGCAAATCCAAAAAAATTAGGACTCGGACACGGCGAATAGTATATATATATATATATATATATATATATATATATCAGCATTAATAATTTTAAAAAAAAACACTGATATGTTTAGGTTGGAATATATATATATATCACTGATATGTTAGTATATATATATATCAGCATCTTTAGGACACGGACACGGCGAATTGTGGCATCTTTAGGTTAGTATATATATATATCAGCATCTTTAGGATAGTACAAAACAAAAAATAGAACATATTAGCATTAAAAATTTAAAAAAAAAAAAAAAAAAATTAACATATCAGCATTAAAAATTAAAAAAAAAAAAAAAAAAAATCCAGAAAAGTGTGTTCGAGCCGTGTCTGAGCCGTGTCCGATCTGTCTGAGCCGTGTCCGTGCTGTGTCCAAGCTGTGTCCGAGCCGTGTCCGAGCTGTCTGAGTCGTGTTCGAGCCGTGTCCGAAAATTAAAAAAAATAAAAAAATTCCAGACACTTTTTTTGGCGTGTCCGACACTTGTCGGGGCGTGTCCGACGCGTGTCCGTGTCTGACACGTGTCGGACACGGATTCTTCGCCCATTTTGGAGTGTCCGTGCTTCCTAGGTTGTGGAGATTCGGAGTGGAACGTCATAGGTTGTGGAGGAGGGTTATTTTGTGCCGGTTTGGGGAAGAAACGGGGGGATGGTGTTTGTGTTTGGTGAGGATTCCTGTTGGTGTCAGAGTTTGGAAATTCATTAGGAAAGGTTGGAATGAGTTTTCAAAACACATCAGATTCAGAGTTTAGGAGGGTAGGGATGTGCAGTTTTGGGAGGATATTTGGTGTGGTGATTGTACTCTTGCTTGTGCATTTCCCAGATTGGTTAGAATTGTTGTTAATAGGCATGTTTCGGTTGCTAACTGCTATTGGCTTGATAGCGGGAGGGTTACTCGGGATGTGCGGTTTGTGCGAGCGTTTCAGGATTGGGAGTTGGAGGACATTTGTGGATTGCTAGATCGGTTGTATCGGCATGAGATCCGTGGCAGGGAGAGAGATTCGCTTGTTTGGGTGCCTTCTTTTTGGGGAATGTTTGAAGTGAGATCATATTTCCGATGCTTATCAGATACTACAGGGATTATGTTTCCGTGGAAATTAGTGTGGAGATCTAAGCTGCCACTTAAAGTGGCGTTCTTTACTTGGACAGTGGTGTGAGGCAAGATTTTGACGCTTGATAATTTGAGGCGGTGAAGACAAATCACAGTTAATTGGTGTTGTATGTGCAAGTGCAATGGGGAATCGGTGGATCATCTTCTGTAGCATTGTCCATTGGCTTTGGATTGTTGGTGTCTTTTGCTAGGAATGTTTGGGGTTTCGTGGGTTATGCCTCGATCTACGAGAGGTTTGATGGAGGCTTGGAGAGGGTGCTATGTGGGAGGTCATGCTCGTGGGATTTGGAGGATGGCACCCTTGTGTTTATGGTGGTGTTTGTGGAGGGAGCGGAATAATAGATCCTTTGAAGGACATGAATCATCGATTGCTGTTCTTAAGTCAACTTTTATTTCATCTTTATGTTTTTGGGGTATGGGTAGGTATTGCTCCTCACCGGAGGAGATGACTGATTTTATTTCTTCTTTGGGACCTTAGGCTCCCTTTGTTGTCTGTGGGACAAGTTCCCCTTTTGAATGAATTTGCTTATTTATCAAAAAAAAAAGTATCCCCTATTATTTCTTCAGTTTTTAGAGTTAGTGACAAGTTGGGTTATGTTTAGGTTCCCATCCCAGATAAATAGTATTTTTGTTATTGAGCAAAATTATCATCATTCATCAATAAAAAATCAGTATTCTCTTTGCTGAACTTTGTAAATTCAAAGTTGTTTAATTGCTGACTTTCATAACTACTGTTCTATCACCATTAATTGGTAATCAATTTTTCAGTCTTTTTGATGTCTCTTTTTTTATTTTATTTTTAATTTTTTGTTATGTAAAGAACGGATTAATATTCCTTCAGAAACCCATCCATTCCCTTACAAAACTACATCTCACAAGAATTACAGCCGCTTTTTACCCAATACAATTAGCATCTTGACACAATTTAAACTATCTGAGGTAATGCAATCATCACAAATAACTAAGATATAAAATAAAATAAAATAACATAAAATTGAAAGAAATGACTGAGGCACATAAACTACGCCGAGACTTTGCGAATCTGCAGATCACCCATATGAAGTGCATTGTTATATTGCATGGGAGGTTGCACAAGTAACTGTAAAATTGATGCCATTCCTCAGTGTGTGAAAAAACATTTAACCATTTTTTGCTGATGCATTCATGATCTTTGTACAGCAAAGGTAATCAGTGATGGACCCAGAAAATTATTTGAGGGAGGCGATCTTGAACTACCATAAGATAATTTTTTTTAACTACCATAACAAACAAAAATGATAACTTCTCAATATTCTTTCATAAAATACATATTTATATAAATTTTTTTTAAAAAAGGAGG